GTAACTCTGAGAACGCTCGCCACAGGGCTGCAGCATTTATTCTTGCACTGAAATTTTAAATGTGTGTGTTTTTTTAATGCATTCACCGTACACATTATGCCAGCGCGAGCTTTCTTTTCCATTCATGAAACTGCGCGTCACTCCAACTGGCTCGAACTGCTGTCTTGATTATTAATGCGTACTAGTTTTAAACCACATATTTTGGGATATTGAATTAGAAAGCATTGATCGTTAATAAATTAAATCCAATGGAAAAAAAAGCCAATTGACCATTGATTCTATGCATTAAGATCAATAATAATAATATCTTGTATAATTTACTCAATATGTTACGATCATTAGTTTGAATCAGCCTTAATGATGCAGTCACGTGTGCGCGTTTACCTGCGTGGCTTTTTTCCCCCACAGCTTTGTGCGTAATTCAGCCAATCAGAGGCCAGCTCCTCTGAACGAGTGTCGTTTCAAAACTCTCATTTAGTTACCGTGAAGGGGGCGTAACCCACTGTGCACTGAATAGGCTGTTTATTAAAAACCTTTGACATAATTACCTGTGAGCTTTGAAGGGACGCGGTGCAGAGGAGTCTGGGTAATACATTGTTAACAGTTATTTAGCGCGTGCTAATGGGCACGTGGATCACTGCCAGGGCTTTTATGGCGGAAGTGGCATGAAGGGGTGTGTGTGTGTAAGTGTGAGTGTGAATGTGAAAGAGAGAGAGACACACACACACACCTACATTCAATGGTTACATAGTGTTTTTTAAAAGTTTATAGGATTGATACCTTGCACAGTTTGATTTGATATTTCCTGAGGACTTGGTGCTTTAGTGCTACAGCAAACCTGGGGAAAGCATCTAGAGCTATTTTCAGACACGAACTACAGAGAATGTCCACACAATTATGACTTTCTCCGGAGTTTGCCTTTCACACATGAACAAAGCAGCCGGAGATTTTACTCTTACAACCACACAGGAATCTCGGGAGCATCGGCATTGATTAGTTTCTTCCTGAGATTTTTGTGTTCTTTTTGTTTTGTTTTATTCAGTTTTGTGTTTGTCTTGTAAGAAACGTCATCAACAAGTCCCCTCGCTCGCTATGAATTCTCCAATGGATCTCCTGCTGTGTTTTCACATGGGCTCATCCGGATAATATCCAGAGTTTTAGGGAGCATACTGCTCCTCTGGATAATGTTGGGAGATAATCTGGAGTTTAATGCATGTTTGAAAGTAGCAAGATATAGTGATATAGAACAATGCAATGTCCAGCTTCATCCAACTGCCTCCCTGCAGATTCAGAAGTCCCTCATGGCCTCTGCTGCTCGTCCTGGGAGGGTGAATCGCAGACCGGAACAGCCGGATCCTCCGTATGGCTCCACTGGGGAAAGTCATGACTTGAACTCCAATCCAGTTTGCAGTTGTGCCAGCGCTGCTGAGCAAATGAGCATATCCTGCTTATGCTGGCTGAGAGTCACTCATCATCCAAGTGAAGTGACCCCTGCTCCCTTTCATAAAGTTAACCTTCCATTGAAAACGTGGTATTTACTGACACGCTTGATAGAAATTGATGGATCTCAGACATTTATTGAATTTTTTTACGAGCCGGTTCTGGTCTTGACGCCGTTTATTCGGGCCTCTTTGCGCCGTGGATGTTATTCAAGTTGAACTCCTGCTCTGGCCACCATAGCATGTCTTGTACACATGAGCACATGCACGCACACATGCACACTCACGCACAAAGCCATACACAGACAGAGAGGGAGACACACAGATGACAAGCTCCGTGCAGCTCTGAGTTACAGCCTGTAAGCACTGGACTGGTGTTGGATTCATCCTCTTATTCCCCGATCAAAAATGCTTTGCTGAGCCAAGCCAGGTTGTTGCCTGTTATTACATGGCCTATATCTCATCATTATTTTGAAGAGATCAAACTGTAATACATTTCGGATGATTTGATCCTACTATCCACTGCAGATATAAGTAAGTCTTATCAGTGCAAAGGAGAAATCTCCTCTATCCATAAATGTAAAGAACTACCATAGGTGACAGCTGTAAGTAAAAACTGGAACAATGGTGGATGCAAAAGAATAGCAAACAAAATGTAATTAGCTTTCATTCAGCCCATATATAATGTTTTTACTCCATTGAATAAAAAAATGTTTTCCCAAATGTGCAGTGCATGCCCTTTAAAATCAGACACTGAATGAACTAATGTGATCTGTTCATGAAGAAGCCACTGTGAAGCTACAAAGACACATACTGACCAAACTGGAACATGTTATTTCACTAAACAGGTATATACTGTTTCATTGTGGAGGATAAACAACATTTAAAGACAGTGGTACTTTTTTTTCTCACCACTTTATAAATTTAACGAATCAAGTATTTCTTGTCATAGTT